AGATTGTAAGCTCTTAAAGCAGGGACCTTCCTTTCTGAATTATACTGTTCATATTAGAGTGTACGCTCTGTGAACAAGGACCTCCCTCTCTATATTGTACTGCTCATGTTAGAGTGTAAGCTCTGTGATCAGGGACCTCATTCTCTTTATTGTACTGTTCGTATTATATAGTAAGCTTGGTGAGCCAGGACCTTATTCTCTGTTTTACTGTTTATATTAGACTGTAAGCTCTGTGAGCAAGGACCTCTTTCTCTGTATTGTACTGTTCATATTAGAGTGTAAGCTCTGTGAGCAAGGACCTCACTCTCTATTGTACTGTTTATATTAGAGTGTAAGCTCTGTGAGCAAGGACCCCCCTCTTTTAATTGCACTGTTTATATTAGAGTGTAAGATCTGTGAGCAAGGACCTCGTTATCTTTATTGTACTGTTCAGATTAGAATGTTAGCTCAGTGAGCCAGGACTTTATTTTCTCTATTATACTGTTCATATTAGTGTAAGCTCTCTCAGCCAGGTGCTCATTCTCAGTATTGTACTGTTCATATTAGAGTGTAAGCTCTGTGAGCCATGACCTCATTCTATGTTTTGTACTGTTCATATTAGAGTGTAAGCTCTGTGAGCAAGGACCCCACTCTCTATTGTACGGTTTATATTAGAGTGTAAGCTCTGTGAGCAAGGAACCCCCTCTTTTAATTGTACTGTTTATATTAGAGTGTAAGATCTGTGAGCAAGGACTTCGTTATCTTTATTGTACTGTTCAGATTAGAATGTAAGCTCTGTGAGCAAGGACCTCATTCTCAGTATTGTACTGTTCATATTAGAGTGTAAGCTCTGTGAGCAAGGACCTCATTCTCTGTATTGTACTGTTCATATTAGAGTGTAAGCTCTGTGAGCAAGGACCTCACTCTCTATTGTACGGTTTATATTAGAGTGTAAACTCTGTGAGCAAGGAACCCCCTCTTTTAATTGTACTGTTTATATTAGAGTGTAAGATCTGTGAGCAAGGACCTCGTTATCTTTATTGTACTGTTCAGATTAGAATGTAAGCTCTGTGAGCAAGGACCTCATTCTCTGTATTGTACTGTTTATATTAGACTGTAAGCTCTGTGAGCTAGTACCACTTTCTTTGTATTGTACTGTTCATATTAGAGTGTAAGCTCTGTGAGCAAGGACCTCACTCTCTGTATTGTACTGTTTATATTAGATTGTAAGCTCTGTGAGCAGGGACCTCATTCTCTGTATTGTACAGTTCTTTTTAGAGTGTAAGCTCTATGATCGGGATTGACTCTAAATTACATCCTTTTTATTATAGTAGTGTAATATATTCAGCAATATACAGTTAAACACATTGGGTGGTTGTTCCAGGGTTTTAAGCCGATCGCCATAAATGGGGTCAGGAAGGAATTTTTTTCCCTCTGTGAGACATCATCCACCGGGGGTTTTATTTGCCTTCCTCTGGATCAATCGGATATTATTAATCATGAGAATTGCAGCAATGTTAAAATGTCTGCCTGTATATTGCGGTATAATAATAATAAAAATAATTAATGTATCTGATTGTCTGATTCTTAATTAATATCAATACACACATCATACATCAAAAAAGTATTGATTTGAATGAAGAAAGTGTGTGATAGTCAGAAATAATATGTAGAACTGGTTTCATAATCTGCATCTATCGCGTATTGATAAAAATGGAGGGAATGTGAAAGGTGCACCCACATACTCACACTAGCGACCGAGAACTCAGTACACTTCAGTGCAAGTGAGCACAGACAGGAATGGTCACACTGAGTGTTTATTGAACAATCTAAACAGAAACATCTTCAAATAATTTAACCCCTTAAGGACGGAGCCAAATGTACACGTTGTGAAAATGGGCTTTCATTTAATATCAAATATTTATTAAAACATAATTTTATATGAAAAAAATGGGAGAAAATAAGATTTTTTTAGATTTTTTTAGTTCTACATGACATTTTAACTGTCAATGTCATAATACTGTTTGCTTTTACTGCAATAAAATACACATATTTGTATTCAGCAAAGTCTCACGTGTGAAACAGTACCCCTTATGTACAGGTTTTATGGCGTTTTGGGAAGTTACAGGGTCAAATATAGCACGTTACATTTGAAATTGAAATTCGCCAGATTGGTTACGTTGCCTTTGGGTCTTTATAGTAGCCAGGAATGAAATTTACACCCATAATGGCATACCATTTGCAATAGTAGACAACCCAAGGTATTGCAAATGGGGTATGTCCAGTCTTTTTTAGCAGCCATTTGGCCACAAACACTGGCCAAAGTTAGCGCTAGTATTTGTTTGTGTGGAAAATGCAAAAAACGCCAATTTTGGTCAGTGTTTGTGACTAAGTGGCTACTAAAAAAGACTGGACATACCCTGTTTGCAATACCTTGGGTTGTCTACTATTGTAAATGGTATGCCATCATAGGGGTAATTTTCATTCTTGGGCTACCATAGGGTCTCAAAGGCAACGTAACCAATCTGGCGAATTTTAATGTGAAAAAAATGAAACACAAGCCTTATATTTGACGCTGTAATTTTTGAAAACACCATAAAACCTGTACATGAGGGGTACTGTTGGGAGACTTCGCTGAACACAAATATTTGTGTTTCAAAACAGTAAAAAGTATCACAGCAATAATATCGTCCGTGTAAGTGCTGTTTGTGCGTGAAAAATGCAAAAAACGTCACTTTTACTGGCGATATCATTGTTGTAATACATTTTACTGTTTTGAAACAATAATATTTGTGTTCAGCGAAGTCTCCCGAGTAGAACAGTACCCCCCATGTACAGGTTTTATGGTGTCTTGGAAAGTTATAGGGTTAAATATAGTGCTAGCAAATTAAATTCCCTCTACTTTCGGCATGGGTTGTCAGGCAGGTCCCGCTAATTGTAATTAATTAAGATACCTAATTATGTAAAAATATTACATAAATATGTATGTAGAATTAATATATGTATATATATACTATATGTGTATATATATATAATTTTTAAAAAATATTTTTATTTATATATAGGTATATATATACGTATATATTTATGTATATAGATATATATATTATTTCGTTCTACGTGTATTTTGATATAAATATATATATATTAATATCACAATACAGTTACAACGAATAACACACATCTATATATTTTTTAATTATTTTTTTAATTATTTTTTTAATTTTATTTTTTAACGTATTTACATATTTAATTTTTTTATATTATATGTAAATATATATATATAACAATAATTATATATATATATAATCAGTATCAGTCTACGTGTAATTTGATATTAATATATATATATATAAAATTATATATATATATTAATAGTAAAATACACCTAGACAGTGTATGTGTGTGTATGTATATGTGTATATATATATACTTAGATCATATATATATATATAATATATATATATGATCTAAGTATATATATTTTTTTTTTACAGTTTACTTTTTAATTAATTTATTTTAATTTAATTTCCAGCCAGCAGGGGGACCACCTGTCATTACAGGCAGCCCCCCTGCTGGCAACGCAGGAGGCAGCTACCCCCGGCCATGTGATTGTGGGGTCCTCGCAAGGACCACTCACACATGGCCGGGGGGCACCAGAGGAGGAGGATCTACCGGGTAAGTAATGAAAGACCGGAGGGCGTACAATTACGCCCGGCGGCGTTTAGAGCCGCCTAAAATAGGGCGTAATTGTACTCCCTCCGGTCTTAAGGGGTTAAAAATAATGAAGGAAATCGAGATTAAGGGTCAGATGCGTGACGCCGGTAAACTAAAGAGGGACAGCTGGACAGCACCCCAAAATTGGGATTGACCTGCCAATACCGGGACAGTTGAGAAGGATGATAATTCCCCCAGTAATGTGTCTTTAAACTACAATAAATCTGTTTTGAAATGAGTCTGTGTAAATAAGATACAATGTTCTTGTTCTAAATTACATTAAATTATCAGGGAGCCCCCTCCCCCCTTTCCATACCCACACTCATCCCCCCCCCTCAAAATGAATGTACCACTTTTTGTCCATTGAAATGGTGGCCGGTATGTAGCACTATAAAAACCAATAAACCACAGTGGTTATAGTGCTTAAAGCGTCCTAACCCTGCAATGCTGGATATTTTGCGCAAACTGTTTAAGTGCATTTATTCCAAGTTATATAGGAGTCGTTGTGTTTTATATTTTTCTTTTTTTTATGTTTTTTTTTTTTAATTCTCTTTGAAAGGTAATGCTCTTTTGGTCAGCTACAAATAATATTAAAAGATTATTTTTAGACAGTTTTGTTAATTTTTTATGACATCCAGGTGTGTTTACATCTTCTCAGCGCCATAATTCTAATTTTAGGTTTAAGGGAAAGAAAAACATTATACTAAGGGTGTAGTGTATGCAGACATGTGGAGATATTTGAGGTCATGCTACTCGGTCAGACACCTGTGGTGCTACAAAATGAACCTATAAAGACTATTTTAAGCAAAATTCTTTAAAAAAAATATGCAGTCAGTCAGTTGCCAGTGTTCCCAGTTTAGAACACTAGAGACATAAACCAGTAATTATCACCTGACTGCGTATGGGCACAGACGTATATTGGCTTTAAAACACAATAAGATAGGACATAAAATGAAATAAATACATGAAAAAACATGACAAAAATATTAATGAAGCAGATACGGCATAAAATAAGAACTAAACAAGTTCATATAAATATAGAACTTTATTTCTGTTTGTTTGAGTTTTTATAATGTATGATTGTTTAGCTTGGGGAGACCCTAAGTAAATGCATTGCAACAAAAACACTACCCTAACACAATACTCTATACATTACCCACTACCTTACACTACACTACCCTAACACAATACCCTATACATTACCCACTACCCTACACTACACTACCCTAACACAATACCCTATACATTACCCACTACCCTACACTACACTACCCTAACACAATACTCTATACATTACCCACTACCTACACTACATACCCTAACACAATACTCTATACATTACCCACTACCCTACACTACACTACCCTAACACAATACTCTATACATTACCCACTACCCTACACTACACTACCCTAACACAATACTCTATACATTACCCACTACCCTACACTACCCTAACACAATACTCTATACATTACCCACTACCCTACACTACACTACCCTAACACAATACTCTATACATTACCCACTACCCTACACTACCCTAACACAATACTCTATACATTACCCACTACCCTACCCTACACTACCCTAACACAATACTCTATACATTACCCACTACCCTACACTACACTACCCTAACACAATACTCTATACATTACCCACTACCCTACAATACACTACCCTAACACAATACTCTATACATTACCCACTACCTTACACTACACTACCCTAACACAATACTCTATACATTACCCACTACCTTACACTACACTACCCTAACATAATACTCTATAAATTACCCATTACCCTACAACACACTACCCTAACACCATACTCTATACATTACCCACTACCTTACACTACACTATCCTAACACAATATTCTATACATTGCCCACTGCACTACCCTACCACAATATTCTAAACATTACCCACTACCTTATACTACACTACCCTAACACAATACCCTAAACATTACCCACTACAATCATCTAAACATTACCCACTATACTACCCTACACTACCCTAACACAATACTCTAAACATTACCCACTACACACGCTAACACAATACTCTAAACATTACCCACTACACATGCTAACACAATACTCTAAACATTACCCACTACACTACCCTAACACAACACTCTAAAAATGTTCCCTTACACTACATTAATTACTACACTACAATATCACTGCACTGTCACTAAACATTAACCCCTACATTACAATACACTGTCACTGCACTAAAACATTACCCCCTACACCAGGGATAGGCAACCTTCGGCACTGCAGATGTTGTAGACTACATCCCCATAATGCTCTCACACTTATAATGCTGGCAAAGAATCATGGGAGGTGTAGTCCAAAACATCTGGAGTGCCAAATGTTGCCTATGCCTGCCACTATTCTATCTTTATGCCATCACTAAACATTAACTGCTACACTACACCATCACTACATTATCGCTAAACATTAACCCCTACACACCATCACTACATTATCACTAAACATTAACCCCTACACTATCATTACATTATCACTAAACATTAACCCCTACACTATCACCACATTATCACTAAACATTAACCCCTACACAACACTATAACTAAACATTAACCCCTACACTACACCATCACTACATTATCACTAAACATTAACCCCTACACTACATCACTACATTATCACTAAACATTAGCCTCTACACTACACCATCACTACAGTATCACTAAACATTAGCCCCTACACTACAGCATCATTACATTATCACTAAACATTAACCCCTACACTACACCATCACTAAACATTACCCCTACACTACACCATCACTACATTACCACTAAACAGTAACCCCTACACTACATTATCACTAAACATTAACCCCTACACTACTGCATCATTACATTATCACTAAACATTAACCACTACACTACACTGTCACTACATTATCAATAAACATTAACCCCTACACTACCACTACATTATCACTAAATATTAACCTCTACACTACATCACTACTTTATCACTAAACATTAACCCCTACACTACATCATCATTACATTATTACTAAACATTAGCCCCTACACTACACTATCACTACATTATCACTAAACATTAACCCCTATACTACACCATCACTACATTATCACTAAACATTAATCCCTACACTACACCATCACTAAACATTAACCCCTACACTATATCATCACTATATTATTACTAAACATTAGCCCCTACACTACACTATCACTAAACATTAACCCCTACACTACACCATCACTACATTATCACTAAACATTAACCCCTACACTCCACCATCACTACATTATCACTAAACATTCGCCCCTACACTCCACCATTACTACATTATTACTAAACATTAACCTTTCACTACACTAACACTACATTATCACTAAACATAAACCTTTCACTACACTATCACAAACATGATCTTATACAATACACTATACTATCACTACACTTGCAAATCATTGACCCCCTATGCTACACTAGACTATCACAAAGTATACACATATATATGAACCATATAACAATACATACTATAAAGAGCTATGTAATCTCCCTACCACAAAACCTCTCCTGTGATCTAGCTCATCAAAGCCCCTCGGAGACTCCGTGATATAATCCCCCATGAATGGAACAACCAGTGGAAAGTAGTCACTTGAAAACATTCCTAATTTTGGAAGAAAGAGTTCAGATACATTTTAAAAAATTTCGCACTACCTGCACAAATAATTACTGTGTGTGAAATGATGAATTACTTGTATTGTTTGCCAAGAGAGGGATAAAATGTGCCGTTTATAGGCCGACACACGGCTCAGTGGAAATGTTATGTCTGGACTGTACATTACGAAGTTAATGCGCTTGCAGACATAGTTTGACAGAAATAGGAGGCCATTTAGTCTTAATGCTTCAAAACAACACTTGGTCATCATGCGTATTGCTAATTCTGAATTATTTTACTCTCAGTCTTATTCGCTCAAATGTAAATTGCAGAGAAATCAAAGTCAATTCAGAGTGAATTCAAAATTTTTGTCAAAAGTAGTCAAACCGTAAAAAGTCAGCTATGTTTCAAGTTCGGATACTTTTGCCTGAAATCTACCCTAGTGGAAAAGACTGCAGTTGTAGAAGACACAAGCGATCTTTGAACATTAGGCAGAGTATCCTTCACGGTTATTTACTGGTGAGCATTGCTGGCAATTCAAAGAACATTTAAAAATTAATTAAAAATTTTGGGGCATAGAAATATGTGCATCAATTTGAGATAATTTGGCCTAAAACACCTATGACGAAGCAATCTACCAGTCAAATCTGAAAGATCATTTTAAAATCAAAACCATGATCAATAATATGCATCGAACGGATCGCTCTGATTCCCTCGGCAAATTATCCCCTCCCCATGCTTACCTGCGCACACGAATTAGATAACGTCAACAAAAAAACAGTAACTAAAAACATTTATTTGTAATACATACATAATATGATTTATAAAAAAATAAAATGCATAGTTTGATACTTAATGTGAAAATATTCATAAAGTAAACAGTTTAAAACAATGGTCACAGTGCCAAAACGTCTCAGTCTAAGGATGAGCAGAACTTGCAAAGTATTTCTACAAATTCCGCAGTACGTGGAGAGAAATATTTCTAAGTAGTAGTGGCACCCAATAGTTCAGGTTTCATCAATACACCCACAGGAACTGATATGGGGAATTTCTAAATACTGGACTGTTGGTGAGACTTAAAAATAGAGTTTGGCAATCGCTGCTATAGAGAGTGTCTGAAAACAATCTGAATAAGTTTGATAATAACAGGCATCCTGAAAGTCCACCCAGTCCTTTTCCTCTTTTTACACATGTAATAGTAGAGTTTCAGGCTGCGCTATGGAAAAAAATTGAACTATATAAGAAATAGCCAGGTTTAGGTATATCGCAAATAACTTAGTTTGAACAATATATGCAATAAGACTGTCATTTAATATAATCATATTGTGTCCCTTGGCATTTGCTGGACATTTTTAACAGTTGACTCAGATGTTTATTTAACGCTGGTGTCAATCAGCATACAATATTGCAAAATGTTCAGGCTTAGCTACGCTGCATAAATAGATCTTTAAAAATTCTATTAAAAAAATACCCAATAGACAAGCTGTTCTTTTTCCAGTGGAAATAAAAAATATGGGGCGTTCGTTGAAGTTGATTCAAATACCTTCACCCAGCAGAGGTATTTTTAACATATCTAAAATGATACGTTTACTTTTAAAACGGAGAAACACACATTTTTGTTTGTTTTTTGTTATATAATTTTTTCTTCTGTTAAATTGATGTTTAACATTACCACGAGACAACATATAATGGTTTTATCCAAGTTCTTATTTCAAATAAATGTAATTCGTACTAAAAAGGCTGGCTTTGTTTTTGCAGTTATAACAGGTGTACTTATTCTTACACTAATAACATACACACGAATGAATAAACATCATCATTTTCCTGGTTATTCCAGTCCTGCATTGAAAATCCACCAGTTCATTTGAAGTCTGATAAGGTACACACTGTCTCACGCCGCAGGAACCACAGAACGCGGCTTTGAATGTCTTGACGCTGATGCAGTCTTGAATCTCAAATCTGATTGGATGTGAAGAAAAGACAGTAGGTGTGCATCCTGCACTGCCCTTCAAAAAAAAAAATATATAATATTAATAAAACCAATGTCGCAATCTTCTATATCACTTCAAACCCAAAAATATATTTAGCGTTCCAAATTCTATCAAGAAATTAGCCTTAAAGGTGGGATAAATGAGAAAGAAAGTCAGCTACTTTTTCAGACAGGCTTATCTTGATCTAGCATTTGAAGTTAAAAGAATAATATAAAGTTATAAATACAAAACTGAGGCCCCTCGGCACTGGATCACTCTCCTCCTTTAGCATTATCAAGACGACGAGGGAACCTAATACGAGTGCTCATTAGGCCTTCCTCATAGGAAGACAGTGAATCAATGTTTTCCTGCGGGGATATTCAAGACACTGGATGTCCTCGCGCAAAGTGTGAGGACCTCCAATGTCATGTTGTGGAGTTAAACGATGTACAAATCCAGGCTTTTATACTGTGATGCATTTAATCTGTGATGTCTTTAAACTGTGGTACATTATGCAACTGTGCCTTAGGCTGTGATGACTTTTATACTATGATGACTTTATACAGGGGGTGCCTTTAACCCTTTCCCGACCTCGGACGTACCAGTCATAGTATAAAAGTCATCACAGCGTAAGGCACAGTTGCATAACGTACCACAGTTTAAAGACATCACGGATTAAATGCATCACAGTATAAAAGCCTGGATTTGTACAGCATTTAACTCCACAACACGACATTGGACGTCCTCACACTTTGCTCGAGGACGTCCAGTGTCTTGAATATCCCCGCATAAAAAGAGCGGTTCCAGGGACAATATTCGCCTCTTTTCTGGTGTTAAAAGAAAATCACATGGAAGCCTATTCTGGACCTAAGAAGGGCCAACAAAAGGCTGAATGTCTTCGGGATGGAGTCAATCAGATCCATATCTCAAGCACTTTGGAAGGATAATTTAATTATCTCTATATATCTCAAGGATGCTTACTATCACATTCTAATAGCCCTAGATCTTCAGCATTATCTCAGAAGAGAACTTCTAATTTAGTGCCCTACCATTTGTCTTCACTGCAGCCACAAGAACCTTATAAGCGCTTATAGTGATATTGAGAGTCCAGAACACCACCTGGTTCCATTATCTGGATGATCTACTTCTGGTTGCCTCAGACCCACAAAAGGCAGACACAAAGAGGGACATAGTTCTTTCAGAACTCCTGAAGTTTGACTGCTTGATGAATATCAAGAAAAGCAGTTTCACACCAGCTCAGAGGTTGAAATTTCTGGGTGGAAAATTCTATGCTCTGCCTTTTCCCTATCTCAGGAACAGTTCCACAGATTGTGGAAGTTTTCTCTTCCAGTTGCTTCATTCTCACTTGGTAACAACGAGAAAGTATATGCAACTACTAGGAATACTGGCTTCTACCATCAAACTTGTTAGATGGGCCCAATGGCATCTCAGGATTCCTCAAAGGTCCTTCCTATTTTGGTTAAACAAGAGAAAGATGAAATGGAGCCAGCCAATATCACTATCAGTGGAGTTACACCTTACCTGGTAGCTGAAAAGAGAGAATATATCTCTGGGTTTCCAGTGAACAGAACCTCATTGGTCAATTATAAGCTTGGATTCCAGTTTTCAAAGATTAGTTGCACAATTCTGTTCTGACCATGTTACACAAGGTCTGTAGATAAGGGAAGGCACAATATTACCATTCAATTGTATGGAATTACAAGTCATTTTCAGAGCTCTTCTTTACTTCAGAGGGTTGCAGAAGAACAAGTGGGTCCGAATTTTCTCAAATATCAATGCGATCGTATCCCATATTAATCGTCAAGGTTGGACTTTACTGCCACTTATTGATGAGGGAATTACAGCCCATGATGGGCACAGAAGAACAACCAGGGGCTCAGAATACAATGGCTGATTACCTGAGCCGAGTAACTGTGGACAAGGTGGAATGGCAACTATGTCCCGACGTATCCTCAGGGTTGACTCAGATTTGACTGATAACCTACCTGGATCTGATGGCCATTTCTCGGAACTACCAGGGCCAGAAGTATTTTTCTAGATTTTAGGACCAAAATGCTCAAGGTCAGGATATGCTGACTCAAATTTGGCATTTTAGTCTGATATACATATTTTTCCTGTTTTCAACTTTCCTAAAGGTAATTCAAAAGGTGACAGTGGACGGCCACGTCGACTCTAAATTCCTATGATGAGTAAGATTAATCTGGAACCTCCAAGGGAAATTCCAGTACATCCAGACCTACTACAAGGTCCCTTGACACACCAAGATCCTCAAGTTTTGGTGTTGATGTAGGAGTCTCTATAAGTATAGGTATCCCTGAGACGGTCATTGAGATCCTCTTACAATCCTAAACATACTTTACAAAATGTCCCTCCCTTTGTTAGCTTGGGTATTCCCATGATGTATATGCTGCCATCATTAGCCAGGAAAGTTAAAAATGTATTCATACTTACCGTAATTTTGTTTTCATGGCTATTATTCATGGCAGCATATACTATGTATCGATTGTAGAGCTTGTTACTGACTAAGGACCTTAGGAATGGAGCCTCCTTTTAAAGCCTTTTTGTGTTTTTCCTGTCCTATCGGCTGTAAGGAGCGGAGCTAACCCATGATTTAAATGCTGCCATGATTAGCCAGGAAAATACAGTAAGTATGAATACATTTTCCACTATCTAATGGCTCGCTGTAATATAATTCTATATTACCTTAAAAGCATTAATACACAATTTGACGTACATGGTAAAAAATATACGATTATTTTACTCTCAATGCAAACAGCAATAAATATGAAAAAAATAATGTAACAGTCAGTGCAGCTTAAAGGACCACTCTAGGCACCCAGACCACTTCAGCTTAATGAAGTGGTCTGGGTGCCAGGTCCAGCTAGGGTTAACCCATTTTTTCATAAACATGAATGGGTTAAGCCTTCCCCCATTCCCTCTAGCAGCTGTCTCATTGACAGCCGCTAGAGGCGCTTGCGTGCTTCTCATTGTGATTTTCACAGTGAGAGCACGCAAGCGTCCATAGGAAAGCATTGAGAATGCTTTCCTATGTGACCGGCTGAATGCGCGTGCAGCTCTTGCCGCGCGTGCGCATTCAGCCGACGGGGCGGATCGGAGGAGGAGAGGAGGCAGAGAGCTCTCTGCCCAGCGCTGGAAAAAGGTAAGTTTAAACCCCTTTCCCCCTTCCAGAGACGGGCGGGAGGGGGACCCTGAGGGTGGGGGCACCCTCAGGGCACTATAGTGCCAGGAAAATGAGTATGTTTTCCTGGCACTATAGTGGTCCTTTAATGATGTTACAGAGAGAGCTCTTCTATGGAGAGTAAGTGCTTTTGTCCAGAAAGTCAGGTGAACAACAGAACAGTAGAACGTGATCCTTTTTCTCTGTTCTCTTATACACATGACTATAATGATGTCAGAACCTTTAGCTAAAACTTTGGCCATATAAGGACATATATGAAGACCCTCGACCCTCGATCCTCTCATTATACACCCACATTCCAGACTTCTCATGGTACAGCATATTAAATTACCATCTGTTCTTTTTAACCCGTTAGACATCCATACCTAATATAAATAGAAACATAGAATATGTAATATTCTACAATCTACATTATTCAGGGAGTCATTTTTTTTTTTAGTCCCGACCAATGAAGTCAGATTTATCTGCGCAGTCTATTTTGGGCTGTATTCTTGGCGCCACATAGACAGTAATACATGACATATTTCACGTTGGAATTGCAAGCTAAGTTTCTGGTATGTTGTTTTACATACAATATTTAGAAGCTTTGACATTTGTGTATATGCAAACTGTTAAATCCTTGTACATTATTTTCCCCATCTACATTTAGAGTTGAAAAATTCCCCACCAGCTGAGATATTTATTAAAATACAAAGATTAGCAAGGTGATTCAATCCCACACTGATTGTTTTAGATTGGGCCCCTGCCAACAATTCAGCTGTAAATGGAAAACAGTTTAATTTAATAGAAACTTAATGTTGAACAGACACTTGTTGGAATATGTTACGTTTTACATTTATAGGTCAGGAATATGGTAATTCCACATACATTTGTCTCATAGAACATTTTTTTTAAAGACTTAAAGGACTACTATAGTGCCAGGAAAACAAACCCGTTTTCCTGGCACTATAAGGTTATTAGGTCCCCCCCTACCTCATGGCCCCCCTCCCGCTGGGCTGAAGGGGTTAAAACCCCTTCAGCCACTTACCTTAATCCAGCCCCGGGCTGCCTCGGCACTGGTGACCTCTCCTCCCCTGCCGACGTCAGCTCCCGAATGTGCATGCGCCGCCAGAGCAGGGAGATAAACACTAGAGGCTGGATTAACCCTCTATGTAAACATAGCAGTTTCTCTAGTTGAAGCGGTCTTGGTGCCTATAGTGGTCCTTTAAGTCTTTTAAAGCAGTCAGTTGACGCTCTAAGCCAATCGGTAGCTTCCACTTGATAAAAAAAAAAAAAATATTAAAAAAATACCTTTTTTATCAATAGGGAGCTACAGATTGACTTAGAGCGTCATCTAGCTACTCAAAGCCATTCAGCGGTGTCCCTGCCTGGCGGTACTCCGCACCTGGAAACCGGATGCTGTCTAGGGAACCTGCAGATCGGCGCTGGAGGCAAACTTTGGAATTAAATAGTTTGAGAATGGTTTAACCAATTAAGGTAAAAGTGCACCTCCTAACACCATGACAACTTAATTTAAATTAATTTGTTAAGGTGGCTGGAGTGTCCATTTAACATTAACGCTTTCTGCACTTGAAATGTTGGGTGGCATGAGGCTGATCACTTCTGTTTAGTCCTTAAAAAATGTATAAATGGAATGCCCATCTAAGACACCCATCTAAGTCCTTAAGACAGAGTTTAAAAAAAACCTGATTAAAATAATGGTTGCAATTTGTACCAAATGTTGACTCAAGCAGAAATTCAATATCATGGAACGACATAAGACTAACGTCTGCATTTTTCAGTAAATATTAGAGAAACATGCGGGTATAATTTTGCTTACCATGTTTGTAGTGGAGATAATCCCTCTGCAGGGTCTCACTATGCACAGGCGACTTTGCATCTCAAGCCTACAGTGTGAATTCTTGTTTGAAACTCTCATGGAAACTCCCATGTCGCAACTTACTGAGCACGCACTCCACTCTGTACTCCATTCTGTGCATGTGAAAGGTCTGCTGCGTGGCGATCCTTCAGGAACACTGGATCCTTGATTAAAATCACAAAAAAAATCGTCTCTAAAAGATTCCAATTTTGAGCACAGCTCATTTCTAGATGTGATCCCTTTAGACCCTAGTTTTATATAATAAGGCCTACACGCTAGGGTCATTTTAGTCCAACGCCCTTATAATACATTTCTCATGTTTTACTTGGGGTCATCAGTACTAATTACAGTAAGTACAGCTGTTGATTTGTCATTTTGATGGTATACTGTATAGTTACCCACCAATTTAAATAGGTTAGGTGACACTTGTTCTATTACAAGTGAGTTGAAGCGTCACTTTAGGCACCATAACAACTTTGCACAATTTGTAAAAATCTCTGTAAGTGTAAGCCAAATCTTGGTTCTGACACAATAGAGGAGAAGTTTTAACTTCTATTAATGTGTCATTTTCGTCCAAATTGTATGCGCGAAATGTCCTGGCCACATACTCATCTAGGAAGGACATCTATCCTCTCTGGTGAGAACTGTGAATTAGATTTGTGCATAGTGAAAATTTTGGTATCTTCTGAATTGATATGGTTCTGATTTTTTGAAATTTTTCGATTGGAAATTTCATTTTGTTTCGATATATTTCAGATTGATGCGAAAACTGCCAAGGAAGTCCTAAAATGAAAGATAAATGTGCCTCTAGTGCCCCTTTCACAAAAACAAAAAATTACTCTCAAACTATAAATTAGTGATTCAAAGTTGGTGTTAAGTGACAGAGGCTGATAACTTGTGCACGGCAAACATTTTTCAGTTCTTCCAAATTGATACAGTTCGGATTTTCATTATTTTTTTTTAAATGTCAGTCGAAGTTTGAGTTGAAGGTTGACAATATGACACGGAATCGGTCGAAATTCTGACCAATCTGAATGTCCAAGTCTACTGGGAATCACACTGTGGATAAGCCATCGTGCTATCATTTCACAGAGCAGTTCTACATAAACTTGAAACAAAGGATTGCTATTGGTTGAGAATTTTCCTGGTCTGGGAGGAATTTGCCTGTAGCTGTTGTCAGCAGGGCCGGATTAACATAGGGGCTGATGGAGCTGCAGCTCCAGGCCCATGCCCATGGAATAGGCCCATGGAATAGGCCCATTGATTTAAATTTTTTTTTTTTTTTTTTTTTTAACATTTTTTTTTCCACACACTACTCTTAGGGATTCCACGTGGCTTTTATTTTATTGGCACAGTATTTGTGGCTGCCTGGCTGGTGCCAATATTGCAGTGATACTGGCAATACAAATGCTGGTATTTTTCTCAGTATAAACAAGAGATTACTCTGCAATACCAGCACTGACCAGTAGGGGTCGCTGTATGTGGAGACAGGCAAGGATAGGAAGTTCCAGCATATCCCTCCCTGCCTATCTATACTCACTGCTCTGCAGGGGAGCAGCTACAGAGAGTCCAGACAGCAACTCCCACCCTGCAGAGACAGCCTACAGCTCAGGGAAGTAAGGGATGGGGGAAAGGCTGCAAGGAGACATGGGGACACTGAGACACTAAGGGACATTGGGAGACATTATGACACAGACACATGGGGGCACAGTGTCCCCATGTCTCCCAGCCAGTGTCCCTGGTGTCTCAGTGCCCCCTAGTCTCCCAGTGCCCCCAGTCTGCCAGTGTCTCACTGTCCCCATGTCTCCTAGTGCCTCCATGTCTCTCAGTGCCTCAAGTGTCACAATGTCCCCATGTCTCCAAGCTAGTGTCCCTAGTGTCTGTGGCCCTGGTGTCTCAGTGTCACAATGTCTCCCAGTGCCCCCATGTCTCAATGTCCCCATGTCCCCCAGCCAGTGTCTCTAGTGTCTGTGTCCCTGGTGTCTGTGTCCCCATGTCTTCAAGTGTCCCCTATTTTCCCATTGTCCCAATGTATCCCTGCCAGAGTCCCCTAGCCTCCCAGTGTCACTGGTGTCTCCGTGTCCCAAGGTCTCCCCATGTCCCCAGGTCTCCCCGTCTTCCTAGTGTCCTAGTGACATGAGGACCCTGGGATACATGGGGACAAAGGGAGACATGGGGCATTGAGACACTGTGATACATAGGATAACTGGGAGACCTGGGGACACGACACTAGGGGACACTGGGAGACATGGGGCACTGAGACACTGATACATAGGAACACTGAGACCTGGAGTAATCGACACATGGGGGCACTGGGAGACATGGGGGCACTGGGAGGAATCCATCTATACAGCAGAATCAAACTAAGTAGTTTTTTGGTGATTTTACAGAATTTTCTCTTATGTCATTCCTTGTGATTTACATCATGTGATGTCACCTATACCTATTTAATTATGCAAATTAGTAAGGCCGGTATGTTTTTCCAAGAAAGGTGGCAACCCTAACTACTTTTCACATACTCTTTCTTAAGTATGGAAACTTAAGAGGGATGTATGGGAACAAAACTTGTGTGGACTGGCTGACAATGAATATAGTTAAAGGGACACTATAGTCACCAGAACAACTACAGCTTATTGAATTTGTTCTGGTGAGTAGAATCATTTCTGTCAGGCTTTTTGCTATAAACACTGTCTTTTCAGAGAAAATGCAGTCTTTACATTACAGCCTAGTGATAACTTCACTGGCCACTCCTTAGATGGCTGTTAGAGATCCTTCCCGGGTCATGGCTGCCTAAAATGCATACACACATTCAGTGTCTCCTCCCTCTGCATGCAGACACTGAACTTTCCTCATAGAGATTCATTAATTCAATTCATCTCTATAAGGAGATGCTGATTGACCAGGGCTGTGTTTGAATCATGCTGGCTCTGACCCTGATCTGCCTCTTTTTCAGTCTCAGCCAATCCTATGGGGAAGCACTGTGATTGGATCAGGCCACCACTTCTAATGATGTCAGTAGACTGCTTGTTTTTATGAGTCTAACAGCATTCAGAGTTACAGCTTCAGGCTTGAATATAGTAAGATTTTGCTATATTTATGGAGGCATGAGGGGCCCAGGGGTGGTGTTAACACTATAGGGTCATGAATTAATGTTTGTGTTCCTGGCCCTATATTGATCCTTTAAGGTAATGCTGACTTTGGTCTCTCTAACACTGTGGCATGTTCCCTTTCTTCTACACTCACTACATACAGCTTTTCTCTGTCCCAGACCATATACCAGGAGCTTCTGCCTGCTAGTAAGAAGGTAAGGAGACAAGTGGACCAGCGAGTGCTAGGGAACAGTCCTTAGAGTGAGCGCATCCTTAGATGCATTTATGCCAAGCTCAGGGTGCTGTCTGCATAGTATGCCCTTAGTTGGCCAGCTGCATGATTGGCAGGCAACCTGACATGCATTCATACCAGGCTGGCCTTCTAATTCTTTGGGCAGACATGCCCCCTTTTTGGGCATGTTCGCCCCTTTTGGCAGGTTACGTGATTTGTGTCAGTGGCACACCCTTTTACCGTGCCCATTGACTTTCTGCTTGACTGGACACTGCTGTTAGGGGTTATGGATTTACTTGAAAGATGAAAACATAAATTAGTGAGAGATTAGCCTAGGGTATGTGTTTTCTTATTGCTGCTGTTTTCTTTCTCTCCAGCACCTTCTCCATCAGATACATGACACCTGGGAGTGTTTTACTGTTTTTGGTCGATATGATTCTGTAATTAGGGCCGTCATAATTGTCAGCACCAGGCCCACTGGGCTCTTAATCTGGCCCTGGTTGTCAGCCTCACTCTGAGCAGAGCATTGAACTTTTTAATTTAACATTTTTAAATTTCTTATTTTTTTTTTATGTATTATAAATGAAAGGAACAAATTAAAAAAAAAAAAATGTTTTGCCAGTTATGTCCCTTAAAGTTATGTACCATACAGTGGTTACCTCTCACCAGAACACTAGAAATTCGGTTCTGTTGTCCATCGCAAATCCACTCCTGGCAGCATTTCCCTGGGATTCCAACGCGTTTCGGAGAGGGGCACTCTGGCGTTGGGAGGAGAATATCCTCACTGCAGAGAGGTGTGCATGTAACTCCCCCTTCCAGACATTTGCACTGGAATTTACAGCTGGGCTGAAAGGTTTCGCCATCTTGGTACACCTTCCCATCATGTTCACAATTCCCATCATGATTGTCTGAAAATACATATTCATCTTAAATTAACAAACTGTAATAGTATACATTTACATGCTTAATTAATAGCTATAGAGTCCAAAGGTCAGCGAAAAACAAATAGTTCCTACATTGCATATTGTGATATATAATGTTCATCGTTCCTACTCCTATAATACACAGTGCCTCTGCACGTTTTACCAATAGCTGAGAGCATGTCTGTCCAGATTACTATTTTACAGAGACAGAAGGACATGGCTGTTTCATTAAAGGACCACTATAGGCACCCAGACCACTTCAGCTTAATGGAATGGAATAAAAGTGCCAAAACGCGTTTCACCGTCAAACGGCTTCCTCAGTCAGCTTCAGAAGCTGACTGAGGAAGCCGTTTGACGGTGAAACGCGTTTTGGCACTTTTATTCCATTTGGAACTTTTTTATATATTTGTTTGTTATTTTATATAAAGTTTGTATACATTTTAATTTCTTAAAGCAATAAATATACTATTTATTTAAATATAGTTTACTGCATCCCATTCAAGTGATTCCAAGAAGGGGTAGTGTCACCCCACTAATTGACACTAGGCCTACACACTTAGAGCCAGGTACCAAGGGCTCTAAATAAGGTGAGCAATATTGTATTTTATTTATATTGATTTTATCAATACTTAAAATACTACACCTAGATTGGATTATCTATCTTTTCTTTGTCCAATGTGGAGGAAAACATATATGTGCATATCGTGAGAGAAGGGTCGTGTGTTCTACCCGGAAAAGACACAGACGCCAGGAAGTTTAGAGCCTTAAAACTGTAAAAGGCTCTAAAAAATGTGAGTGGATTTAAACTTAAAAAACTCACAAAATCACTGGAATTATTTTGATATACTGCACGATTATTTGTATTTCTTTCTTTCTTTTCCCTATGTAATACAAGTGTGACATAGAGGGTAAGTGCAAAAGAAGCACTATATATATATTTACTAATTTATTCTTCAAAACAACACGGAGCGCTACACTCGAGAAAAACTGAGGGTTTAACGGTTATACCTGCAAACCTTTCAAGTTTATCTATTTCTCTTGGTGATTTAATTAATGATTTGTGTCTTATTAAAGATCATGACATAATTTAATTAAATGTATCAATTGTGCTTTTAAGGAGCCCCTGAATATCTAACCAATAAGGGCCCACGGAAATCCGAATTTAGAATGTCAGGAGTCAAAGAAGCCACCGATCCTAAATACATGGCTTTTTTTATAAGACTCGTAGCTTGAGTAAATTAGCTGAAGAATTTCAGTGTCCACGCATATCAATGAATAACCCATGTCAATAATATCTATTTACCCAGACTGAGCTATTGATCGTTAAAGTCCAGGCAGAAAAAAAAAACAAATATCTGTCATTCTAAACTGATAAAATTTTACTCGGATTGTCTAGACACAATATGGAGTACTCCGGAATAGAAATGGTTTTCAAACTGAAAGACAGAGAGAATTCTGCCTGTGTCCACCATTTTAAATGCCAATGCTTAGAATATATGTATTGTGTAGATATGGATAGGTAAATGTCACTCAGACATTACTGTTTATGTAACGGGATAAATATGGCCAAAGAAATTGCTTTGGCGTTTTCTACCAACTCATTCTCTCTTCCATAATTGTGTGCGTGACCGTTGATTTGATGGCATTTTTTCTTCGGTTATATTGGACTGGGTTCTAGTGAGACTGAGGTTAATTTTGTAAAAGAAGGTACAATAGGTATGTGCTCACAATTACACGTGCCGTCTCTTCCGTCCATGCTTGTCGAAAAATCGCAGGTCAGTTCTTGCGTCTGATCACACGGGTAGATTTGGTTGCAAGATTCACCAAGCCTTCTTGCACAAATTCTACAGCAACCACAGCCGTCCATGATGAGGGGAACACCAACAGGACATCTTGGTGGAATCCACGGGCAGTAGCAAGGGGTTCGACAGAGCTGAGCACATATCTAAAAAAAAATCAATCAAAGGAACACTCAAAACACCATAACATCTACAGTCCAATACAGAAATAAATTCATTCAGCTCATTCATTTGCTGAGAGTGCTCAGTCAAATAATGAATACCTACCCTACTTCATCATGCAGTTTCTTCTGCTCAAGAAGATCGGAAGCAGCTGAGATGCTGAGCAGAACCAGGTAAATGTCAAACCATGCTAAACATTTTGACAGATTATTCTGGGACAGAATAGCGGGCTGCACTGGTTATGGTGTTTGGAGTGTTTATTTATTTATTTTTTTTAAACACTCCTTAAATAGTTACCCTATATTGTAAAAAGTTGCTACATTTGTATTTCTGCACAGTATCATAACCACCCACAAGCTGGATACCATAGAAGTTACATTCACAAGTGATAAATGTATATGCTATAATTAAATGGACCCTATCTTTAACGTGCGTAGAATTATAGCCGCGTGTTAAACATTTCATAATATAGGGATTTATTCACTAAGAGGGAATTGTGGAAAAGGAAAATGCTAATTTTATTCACAATTCCCATTTTAGACAATAAACCTCTGACAAAATATCTTATTCAAAGTGTCGTTTTTGGGAATTCAAAGTATGTTTTTACATTTTAGCCAAAATACCGAAAATTTAAATGAAGTGGTCTGGGTGCCAGGTCCCTCTAGGATAAACTGCTATGTTTACAAATGGGTTAATCCAGCCTCTAGTGGCTGTCTCATTGTCAGCGGCTAGAGGCGCTTCCGCGCTTCTCACTGTGATTTTCACAGTGAGAAGACGCCAGCGTCCATAGGAAAGCGTTGAGAATGCTTTCCTATGAGAATGGCTGAATGCGCGCGTAGTGCCGATGACGGGAAAGGAAGAGGAGAGTCCCCAGCGCTGGAAAAAAGGTAAGGGATTAACCCCTTCCTCTCCCTAGAGCCCGGCGAGGGGGGGGACCCAGAGGGCGAGAGGGACCCAAGGACCCTATAGAGCCAGGAAAACGAGTATGTTTTCCTGGCACTATAGTGATCCTTTAAGTGGGAGAAACATTGTGTCCTAGTAGTCTATGTTTTAAGTTCTCTCAGATTTTGTTAGTGTTTTAGAAAAATATATGTAAATAAGATAATCGCAAGCGCTAAGCCAATCATCTGGCCATCATATAAACTGCAATAAAATAATTAGTGACCATCATGTTTATGGGACGTACTAAAATAGTCTGATAGCATATATTGCTCAGATTGACTGTCAAAAATATAATGCAGAAGAACTGACCATCAAACCAAATGCAAAACCAGATACTATCTATGCTCAGCCAAAATAAGAACCAGGACATGCCCTGTGTTAACAGAACAGAAACATGACATCAAAATGGGACATCACGGACCCACGCCACCCACCAATAACTATTACAGTAATAATGGAACAGTCACGAAGGAGAATTAACAGGCCAGCGGTTATAGAGACTGACTGCTCTAAAGCTAACATCAGCAATAGGTGTGTATAAATTCTTATCAATTATCTGCTAAAGTATTCGTGCAATCCCAAAAAGTGAAGAGCTAATTTAAAGGGACTCTATAGTCACCCAGACCACTTCATCTCAATAAAGTGATCTAGGTGCCGTGTCCCCCTCTCTTAACCCTGCAGTGGATGTTGAGAGACTACCTGATTGGGCATGCGCACAAGCCTCCCATTGCTTTCCTATTGGATTGGCTGAGATAATCGATCTCGATGATTGGATTGGCTGAGATAATCGATCTCGATGATCTCAACCAAAGAGGCAGAGTTTTTTTTTTACCTGCAGCCGTCAACAGAAGCACCAGTAGTTGAAGGAGAGCAGCGTGACTTGGATTTGCTGAGATAATCGATCTCGAAGCATTGGATTGGCTGAGATAATCGATCTCCATGATCTCAACCAAAGAGGCAGAGTTTTTTTTTTACCTGCAGCCGTCAAAAGAAGCACCAGTAGCTGAAGGAGAGCAGCGTGACCAAGATGGCAGCACATGCGAGGGACAGGTTCAGGTAAGTAATCTCACCCTTACCTGCCCCATGCATTCATCGGACCACCAGCTGCTATGGCACCACTTGGGGACTTTTCGATTTCGGCCTTCAACGGTGACAGTGCCGCTTCAATTTAAAAAATAATGTGCAACAGGCCTGTATTACATGCACTTTTTATTTTCAGGAATGATAAAAAAAAAAAAAATACAGTTTTCCTTTAACAGTTTCTAGCCTAGCAATTGCCACTCAGATTTCCCCAGCTAAATGTAGTCACTGGGTGAGCACCCCAAGGCCCCTGAGATTTGGAGTCTGGTGACAAGTCTCCCTCCTCAAAACCCATGCTGTTACTCATCAGTTCTTGGAGACATATCTGTATCAGATTCCTACAGATGCATCTTTTTGTATGTTTAGTATTACACTTACAATTATTTATATGGCACCAACATATTCCACAGCGCTGATGTTAACATGATCTCTGTATCTTTCACGTTGTTAATACAGCCTCAAGTTCAAATATGATCTGTGTACATTGACAATATATTTTAACATTCCTTTGATGCTACATTGTGCTAATGAATTGACCTCCAAACAAAAACCTCAGAATTATAAATTTTTAAACAAAATTTAAAGAAGCGACAAACATCAAAACCTCTCTACATTGAGTTATTTAAAACGTAATACACACCTGATTCTGAAATGACACATTCAGATTATTGGTAACTACGTACAGTATTTCTGGCAGGATTCTAAAGTTGAAGCATGTTTATAAAACTCTTAAACGATTATGAGAAAATATGCAGATCTTTTTTAATAGTAATAGAGAGCCATTAATTACTTAAAGCCATAGTAACATGAAAGTGTGAAGAATGTATCTCCTTACCTGTGTCACTAAGCAGGAGACAAAAACCAGACAGGATCTGTTTTTCACCAACACCTTCATGATAATCTACAGAACATTTATCAAATGCATGGCTTGCCTGAGCTAGGAATGCAGCGAGTTTGTCTCTGCAAGCTCCCAGAAATGTTCCAAACTCACTGTTTATAATCTCAATGCTATGATGTTATTCTCGGGCTGAAATACAAACATCACAGCAGTTGGATACCTGTCAAGTCCCCCCCCCCCCTAATTTCACATTCCAGCTGATGTTTTCACTCACCTTCCAGTGATAGAAAGGAAATAGCAGAGTTCTAACAGGGAAAAATGAGTAGCCTGGAAAAACGCTCATTCCTACCAACTTGTCAAAGCCCCGTTTTATGAACCAGTTCATATTTTTTATTAACGGAACACTCAAAACACATAAAGCACTGCCGTTTGCTCAAGTGCTTTACTGTGACGGGTGTGTCCTTCCTTAAAGGGACGCTGTAGGCACCCAGACCATTTCAGCTCATTGAAGTGGTCTGGGTGCAATGTCCCATGTCCCTTTACCCTAGAGTAGTAATTATTGCAGTTTCTCAGAAACTGCAATGATTACCTGCTAGGGTTAACTCCTCCTTTAGTGACTGTCTACCAGACAGCCACTAAAAGGACTTCTGGGTGCTTAGACAACTTTTGATCATTTAAATGACAGTGGACGTCCTCACGCTCTGCATGAGGACCTCCAGCGTCACTGGAATTCCAATAGGAAAGCATTGCTTAAGGCTTTCCTATGGGGAAATCCTAATGCAATAGCGGCCATTTGGTCTTCCCCGCTTGCCGGGGAGGAGTGTGGGCAGAGCTTGAACCACCGCTGAATTCAGGTAAGTGACTGAAGGTGTTTTAACCCCTTTGGCGTAGGAGGAGGTGGAGCGCAAGTGAGGGGGCGCTGTTGGAACCTATAGTGCCAGGAAAACAGCTTTGTTTTCCTGACACTATAGAATCACTTTAACATTTTATAAAAGTGCTGGTTTAAGAAGTTTAGCAGCTATTGTCAGCCAAGATTTTTATATACACCCAAAAAAAAAACATGCAAAGCAAAACACGCAGGCAACACCTGCGATCTTGTCCAATCGAGTGCTTTCTCATAGAGAAGTATTGGATTGGAGAGCACATGCGCAGCAAAACTCCGATATCCTGCAATCATATGCTGTTAGCACCTAAAGTGGCAATCAAGAAGACAGCCATTAGAGCTGTATTAAAGGGATATTATCTTACATTAAATAGTTGAAAGTGTAGGACTAGTGTGCCCAGAACACTTCATTAAGATGTCCTTTAATTTTGCATTGTATAAAAGTCATAATAGGATTGTAAGTTCCACTATTTTGTATGTTTTATGCCAGTAAATGATGCAATTCGAGGTGGCACACAGTCGGCGGACTTGCACCTTTAGACGTCGAATGGGACAGATAAATTTTGTACATAATCTGTTTTCCTCGCTTAAAGTGTCCAGTTTGTTTCACTGTGCGTCTGTCATTAAACAGATTAGATATTTTCAATTTCAAAGAATTTAGCGAGCATAAAATTTACTCTATCGACCATCTCCCCCTGAGATCTCGACCTCCATTTTGCTTTTTTATTTTTTTGACAATCTTTATTTTCATTTTTAAGTCTATCGAAGAGAACAGGTAAGAATTTTGTGTACAGGTGTAATAAAGTCTCTAACACAAGCACAATGATATAGCGGTAATAAACTCATGAAGATAGTTATAGTTTGCATCCATAGGTACAAAGATCATTATTCAGGTATCCATCTTAATAGTATCTTTCCTAACCGGAAGTACCATGGCTCCATTTTACTTTTTAATCAGTTAATTGTGTTAGACTAACCTATCTGCTCACTGAGGACATATCACAAGTTCAATGTGCAACAGCATCAGCAAAAAATATCTCATTAGGTGACAGACAGGTTTATTTACCAAAGTGTTAATTGCAAGGAATTCATAATTTATTTAAAGTGATATTCCCAGTCATTTTGAATTTCCACATTTTACACTTTGGTGAATAATTGATTTTGTCCAACAGATTTATTTTCTGCACAAAAAAAATAAAATATTTTGCTATGCATCCCTTATTTGGGTCGCAGAGGAATCTCATGTATAATGTGATTTGCCTTCCAAAGATCCGAGCCTCTAATTCAGTGTAGTTTATTGTTAGGCAACACAATCTCTCGTTTGAGAAAATATTACTAAGATATTGTGCAACTGTTTCAGTAGAAAACAACCCGCAGCGTGACGTTACGTTCAATAAAAAAAGAAGTAACTGACTCATTTTTTTCAGTTAGTGTCCCAGAGGGATCTGATGATCGTTAGCACCTCAGTACATTTTACATTCTTCAAATATCTACCAAACTTACTAAACTGAACTAGCAGTAAAAACTTTGGAAATAGATGGAGGAATTTAGTATAAAAATGCACATAAACTATTTTACCCAAACTACAAATATTTTCCACTTTTAAAAGCCAGCAGACCCAGACCTGGCAGGATGAAGGCTACAAAACCTAAATAAATGAGAAAGTATGACTGTCCACTAAAAAAATGTGTTGTAATTATATCTTCTCTCCTTATCTTTTACTGTTACTTGTCAAAATGTAAAAAAAAAAACTATATTTTATCAGTCTGTGAGGAGAAATGTACGAATGTCGTATTTTTAACCCCTTATTGACACATGACATGTGTGACATGTCATGATTCCCTTTTATTCCAGAAGTTTGGTCATTAAGGGGTTGAATATGTAAGAATAATGATGTATCGAGAATTGTTAGAACAGAGAGCTCAGGATTCCAAACAGAGAAAAAAAGTATTCAGAGCTTTATAAAAAAATAGAATACATCATAATTGTGTGTATTTATATATATATATATCTATATATATAATTCCTGGCCTTGGGGCACACTTCTGGTTGTCTGCACTCAAATTGCCTCTTTTTTGCTCCCTATGGGTTGGATACACTATAATCAGGGATAGGCAACCTTTGGCACTCCATATGTTGTGGACTGCATCCTCCATAATGCTCTTACACCCATAATGCTGGTAAAGCATCATGGGAGGTGTAGTCCAAAACATCTGGAGTGCCGAAGGTTGCCTATGCCTGCACTATATTAAAGGGATAGTCTAGTTTCAGGAATACAAATCTGTGTTCTTGGCACTGTAATTTCCCCTGCCAACCCCATCCCTCGCGCCAATGTACTTTGGCGCTGGGTCGACGATCCGCCCCCTCCTCCGTCCTGCAATGAGCAGGTGCTTATGCGCATGCGCGGCAAATGCCACTGTGCGCATTAGACCTCCTCATAGGAAAGCATTGAATCAATGCTTTCCTATGGGGAATCATCTGACGCTGAAGGTCCTCATGCAGAATGTGAGAACATCCAACGTCAGATACCGGACCAAAGGTATGTTTCGATTCAGGAAGCCCTCTAGTGGCTGTCTGGTAGACAGCCACAGAGGGCAGACTTAGTGCTGCAATGTAAACATTTCTCTAGCACTAAGTGCAAAAGGGATACTGCACCCAGACTACTTCAATGAGCTGACGTGGTCTGGGTGCCTACAGTGTCCCTTTAACGGCTTTTCACTAAAGTGAGAATTCAAGGTGAATGTCAAATTTAAGAGCAGAGTAGTCAAACTTAAAGTGAAGCTAAGCTAAATAATTTTTCCATTTTGGCTATTGTGACCTTAAATTTTACATATTGTCTCTGTTACTGGACTGTGACCACGTCCCATGACAGGACCATGCACATCAATGTTAGCAATATTAATTCTATCCATATTTTAACATTCTGAGAGGCTCGAAAATGATTTGTCACTGTACCAAAAGTCGCACCCACAGTCTACTAGTACCATAATCACTACAAGGGGCTGTAGTGGTTATAGTCCACTTTAGTGGTTTGAAACATGTACCTTGTGTTCTCATAACTTTTCCTTGCGTAGATCTGACCCATACATGTTATTTCTCTGTAGAAGTAGGTGATTTAGGTGATTGAAAAAGTTCTTTTTACTAAGATGCAGGATGGCAAAGCCTACACCGGACATTGGGAGCAAAGGAAACTCAAAGCGCCCTATGACTGTCTCATTTTGAAAACTCAAGTTCTTGGATCATGAATCCAAATCATGGTTAATAAAAAATATTAAAAACAGAGTCAACTTTAATGTAAATTAGAAGGTCAGGGGAACTTCACTTCGATACATAGACTGCAAATTAACTCCTTCACTTCCAAAAAAATTTTGTAGCAATCCTACCAGGATCTATCTCACATTTTATTTTATCAAGTTAAAAGGACACTAACGTGTTAAGAATACAAATACGTATTTTTAACGCTATGGTGCCTTAGTTACCGTTTAGGTGACCGGGCCCCTGCAGCCAGGGTTAAAAAGGTGAATGTACTTACCCTGTTTCCCTCGCTGCAAAAGTCTCTACTCCTTGAAGCTTCCTCTCTTTGGTTGAGGTCCTGTAGGGTTATACAGGTGGTACATGGCACCCAGACCACTTCATTGAGATAAAATAGTCTGGGTGTCTGTAGTGTTCCTTTAAGAATCAGATAAAATTGCAGTAGTGTTTACCAATAGCCACTGTACATATCTTCACTAGACTAGGAACCCTACGGATTAGCACGATTTTCTCAATACCATAAATGGCCTCTAAACAAGGATACAATATTGGAATTTGAGCAATTGTTTTGTGAATGACTATATCTTTTGTTAGAACCCTAAATGTAAATTCTTGGGACATGAGATATGATTAGGCCTGGGAGATATTTATTTTGACACACTTTGACCCTGAATCATTAATAAAACAACAGGTCATTTTTTGTAAAGAATGAATATCCGTAAAAGGAAACAAAAAAATCTCAGGAATGTTTGGAAATTAAATGCCATGAGACAAATTTGTAAAAAGATTTTTTAGTTTCATTCCCACCATTAGTTTATTTGCATTTCTAGAAAGTGTAGACTACCAGAAGGCTGAGATTGAAAGAATTTTCTGACGCGTGTCTTTGATCAGTAAGACGGGTTAGTGAACTGGTGGATGAGAAAGTTGGACCAGACAGAGAGAGAACACACTCAAAAGAACTGAGGAGGAGAGCGACACGAGAGGAGGCAGCTGGCAAAAAGAGAAAAAAGAAGGTGATGGTGTAAGAAGAAATTTGGAGAAGTAATGATGGGGAAAGTCAGAGGAGAGGATGACGAAGTAAGACAAAGTGGTAATTGGGAAAGAGAAAATTTGAGAAAATAAAGAATACTGGCTATAAAGAAGAGAGAAGGAAAGTGTTGATGGATTGTAATGTTAATAGAACAAGAGAGAGTGTGGGAAGTG